TTCTCCTCCCCATGGGCCCCATTGACATTCCACTGATCCCCCCCGACTTCCCCATTTCCCCTCCCACTGGCTCCCCCAGTGAGTCCCCCATTTGCTTCCTCCATTGACCCTTCCATTGCCCCCCTCGACCCAAATACCCTCCACGGATCTCGCCACTGCCCCCATTGAGCCCAGCCCATTGACCCCTCATGGAGAACCCCCATACCCCCCATGACCTCTGTACCCCCCACGGCCCCCATGGTCCCCCCTCACGTGTCCCCCTCCTCGTCCTGCCACAGGAGATCCCAGGGGTCTTGGCCCCACAGCGCAGCACGGGCGACCGCCAGTTCCCGAGGGTCAAGATCAGGGTCTGAGGTCTCCTTCCCCATCGGGGGGCCCCCAAATTCCCCACCTGGCATGGGGGGGTGGGTCCAGGCAGGGCCAGGGGTAGCAGCAACCTTGGGGGGATAAGCAGAGATCAAGGGGGGGGGGCCTGGAGCCCTGAGGGGTAACTGGGACCAGGCCCCCCCCAAATCCTGCCCCAGTAACCCTCCCATTTCCCCCCCATTTCTCTCCCTTTGCCTTACCCAGGTGCCACCCCATTGTCCCCTATTACCCCCATTTTCCCCATCTCCCCCACTGCTTCCCCCATTGCCCCCTATGGCCCTCCTATTTCCCCCATTCTCCCTCATTTTCTCCCATTCCCTCCCATTGCCCCCCTTAACCCTCTCATTGCCCCTATTTAACTCCCCATTGCCCCCCATTCCCCCCAGATGTCCTCCCCCATTTTCCCCATCTGTCCTCCTTTGCCACTAATTTCCTCCCCATTCCTACCATTGCCCCCACAGTGGACCCCATTTCCCCCCTCATTTCACCCCATTGACCCCCATTTAACTCCCAGTTGTACCCACCATTTCCCTCCCATTGCCCCCCCTGACTTCCCTCTCACCTGAAAACCCTCCAGACCATGGGCCCCTTCCCCATGGGCCCCCACCAGGCCACTGGGGGTGGACACAGGGGAGACCCCACAAGGCTTGGGGGTCACTAGATGGGGTCTGGGCCAGGTGGCACCTAAGGGAAGACCAGATGTGAGGGGAAGAGACATAGGGGCGGGCTCGAGGTTGATTGGGAAGGATTGGGGAGGGCAATGGGGGGACATGGGGAGGATTTAGGAGGCACAAGGGGGGATTGGGGGAGCAATGGGGGGAAACTGGGGGGCATGAGGGGGACAATTGGAGCCACAGAGGGGCACAGGAGGGGAGTGGGAGGGCAATGAATGGGATTTGAGGGACACCGGGAGGGTCAGAGGTCACTCACCGTGCACGGGGCGTGGGGCGGGCACAGCCAAACCCTGGAGGGCAGAGGGGACAGTGAGGGGGTCAGCGAGGGGAGGGGGAGGACAGTGTCCCGGAGGGGAATGTCACCTGGAGGAGGGGGCGTGACTCACCGAGGGTCTCGCCCCTTCCCCGCTCTGCTGCTGCCGCAGCTCCTTCAGCAGCTGCTTTACCGTCTGGGGGGGAGTTGCGCGGGGGGGGCCTGAGAAGGGGCAAGGAGGGATTTGGGGGGTTACCGGAGTGCCTGGGAGACCCTTAAAACTCCTGAGATCTCCCCTGAATCCCTGAGATCCCGCCAAACTCCCAGGACCGCTCCAGACCCTCGGGTACCCCCCAGACCTCCGGGGGTTTCCCCCGAACTCCTAAGACACCCCCCCCCCCAAAACCCCCTACGCCACCCGAACTCCCGGCCACCCCCCCGCCCCGCATTTGAGGAGTCCCGGGACTCCTCAAACCCACGGTGCCCTCGCGGCGAGGCGGGAATGCCCCTGTCGTGAAGTCACGAGGATTCCCACTGCGTCACCGCCCGCCCCCGCTGGCCCCGCCGCCGCGGGATCCCCCTGACCCCCGCCGGGAGAATCCGGCGGAGGGGACACGGGAATTCCCCCGCCACCCCCATCTCCGCTTAAAGGGCGTGTGTGTGTGTCTGTGTGCGTGTCTGTGTGCGTGTCTGTGTGCGTGTGTCCCTCCCGCTCTCTTAAAGAGCCAGCATTCCCCTCCTCGATTTTTAAAGGGCCAATGTTCCCTAAAAGCGAGTCTTAAAGGGCCAGTGTTCCCTAAAAGTAGCTCTTAAAGGGCCAGTGTCCCGTAAAGGAGGGTCTTAAAGGGCCAGAGTCCCCTTCCAGGTGTCTTAAAGGGCCAGCACCCCCTCCCAGAGCTCTTAAAGGGCCCGCGCCCTCCCCGCCTTACCTCTCTGAGGCCGCATCCCGCGGGGTCCCGGAGGCAAATGGGGCCGGGGCGGGCGCGGGGACCGTTTTGGGGGGGCGAGGGGGAGGCCCCGCCCCGGAGGGAAACGCCACCAAAACGCCAGCAGTGTCACTGTTGCGACACGGGGGGGGGGGGGGGGGGGGCGGAGCCTCGGGGGCCCCGTGGGACCCAATCGAGGGGGGGCCGGGGGCAACTGGGTGGGAGGCGGGAGGGGGATCCCAGGAAGGTACCTGGGCTGTTCCCATGTGACGTCATCGGCAGCGATTGGGGGCGACAAAGCCGGGGGGTTCCCCAGGGTCCCCCTCAGCCCCCCAATCATTTTTCAGCTAGTCTCTGTGCCATTTGTGGGGACTCTGACCAATTTGGAGGGGAGGCTCTGTCCCCCCAACCCCAGCAGACCACGAGACCTATCAAGACCATGAAGACCTCCAAGATCAAATAAAGGCTGGTGCCTTTATTTGGGGGGAGGATGACACACTCCGGGGAGGGGGTTTCCCCAGGACCCCGAGTTGGGGGGGGCGTTACTGCTCCCCCTGTGCCCCACTTTTGTGGGGCATGTCTCCCCACACTCCCCAGTCTAAGGGTGACTTAATGGAGTGCAGTGGAGATCTCAATGAGACAAACAGCAAGAAAAAAATAGGGAGAGTGAGCCTGATCAAAGTAGACATGGAAGGAAACTTGAAAATGCAAAAAGGAGCAAGACAGTCAAGAGAGAACTAAAAAGAGCAAGTTACAGTAGCAGTGCATATATGTAAGCAAAATCGTAAAGCCAAGAGATTAGTAGAGGAAAGGAGACAGCAAACTAGATAAAAGTAGATAGAAAACTCAAATTTTTGAAGTTAAGGAACTAAGAGAGAAATGAATTAAAAAATATCAACAGCAAACTAAGATAAAGGCAGACAGAAACTAAAAAAAACCAAACAAAAACCAAACCACCTTAAACCCGATACATGACAGGACATCTTCAGAAATTTTGCTTGTGAAAGTGAAAACGTAAATGTGCACCTACTGATTTGCATGTGTGTCTTCTTAGCAATCAAAAGTCAGCCCAGAAAACAGACGAATGTGAAGAGTATGTGCCTCAGTCTTCATAGGGTAATCTCTGATCTGCCTTCAAACACAGTACTTCTGAATTTGGTGGTCTTAAAGACAACATTGAGTAGTACGGTTGTCCAGATTTCTCATTATTGCAGTTTATTATTTGTGATCCTACTTCACTACTGAAAGAAAACTATGGGACTGAGTCCATGTTACCCTGAAAGCCCACAGGACATGTCACCAATGTTTGTGCCTCTAATTATCTAGCTGGCCATTGTGGGTCAGACAAATACGGTAGAAAATAAAAATCAATTGTGCACACAAAGTAGACATTATTGATGAATAGGAATAAAAAGGCCTTGATCTTCAGAGAATATTTCCATGATTGAATGATTAATGATTACTGTGACATTTGACCCTAAACTAAGAAAACATAATATAGTCATTAAAACTTTGGGGGGACATTTTGCAGCGAACCTGCTTGTTATTTGACTGCGATACTGTTTTGAATGAGGCAACGCATCCCAGAACATGGTGTGCAGACCATTAAATGTTCGCCTTAACATTTAGCTTTTACAGAACAAGTAAACCTCCAGCCACGGTAGTTCAGTCTCACTGAATACTCAGGGTTTTCAAACGTATCTTCTTCAGCATCCTTGCAGGAGCTGGGAGGGTGTGGGGGTGCCAGTGGACCACTTCAGCAGACTTAGATGATTTTTTACCAAGAACAGAAAAATGTTTAGAAACACACTTTAAGTACTCCATAGAAGAGATATATGTTTAGAATCCTGGAAATGGCTGGCTGCAGACTGCTAGTTTGCCAAAATGATTAAGTACTTCCAGGCAAGCTGTCATTTAACTATGAAATCGGACATGACCTATTGACTGATCCTCAGCACCAAAATTAAAATATAATGATTAGCTTTTTAGAGTGCTCAGCAGAGGAAGTTTATTCACCCTTCGCAGGACATTTGAAACAGGAATACACTTTTGTAGAGCACTGATGAGAATCACCTAAAAGAACATTATAGTCCTATATACTTCTTAACTCATATTGGTCCTAGCGGTGGAGTTACACATTAATAGCAGGCTGTGTCCTTGGCCGTTGCACTGCTAATGCCGCCTCCAGAACAATTTACTCAGATGGATGGAAGATGGCAGTGGTTGTAACTTTTTATTGGACGTCGCAGATGTTTAGTTTTACACATTTTTGTAAAGAAAGGTACGTTTTATTTTTAATTTTATTTTTAATTTTCTTCTCTTTAAAAAATGTCTAACTTGCCTATTTGTATACTGATTTGCAAGAGTATTTTCATGTTTAGAAGGCTGCCTTTACATGAAGTTCCCTCTATAGTCATCAGTATTGCAACCGTAAGACTCCAACTTCCTTCTCATTTCTTAACACTTATTTTACAGGGTGAAAATTAATCCCATTTGAACAGGAAAAGCTATGTTAAACCACTTTTTTCCTAAAAAATACTGAAAAAAAGATACTATTCTCCTTTTCAGTATAACTGAAATCTATTGAATTGTGCTGTACATACAATGAAAAGGTAAATCTACAGATGTACTGCTTATCCCCAGACATAATGCTGGTAAAGAATTTTTGTATAAATCATTTATTTTTCAAAGAATTGTAGCCAAAAATAGTAACTCTTGACACTTAGGCCCTTATTCACTATTTTAAATGCAGGTGTCATAGATCAGAGGAAACAAGACCGATTATGGTAATTCTATTTATTTATCATCGACATCCGCAAACAAAGAGCAAATGTCTGTCTGCACAAAATTATATGCTTAAATATATTTTTTAAATTAACGAAGAAATTTTAGTGAGATGCTTTATTCCCTCTGGAGTTCCTTTGTATAACCAGTTTCCACTGTGAAACAGTAATTAGACATTACCATAACTTCAGCTGTGATGTGGGACTTGGAACATCTGAAAAAGATGTTCCAAGGACACTTAGGACACTTCATAAGTGTCCTGAGTATAACATACTGCTCTTACATTTTTATCATATGATGGTTCAAATGGATCACTAATGCTCTTAAAATCCTGCTACAAGTCGAGGTACCTTAGTTTCCACTGATCTGATGCAGTCTGAGGGTGCTTAATACCTCATAGGGATATGCTTATCAGGATATCTTTTAAAGATAAAGTAGACACGGGCAGATGATGCAGTTCTCCATCTTGTAGATGAGAGAAAATAATACCCAGATTATCAGTGAGCAGTTGTTCATGTTGCTATGGTTACCGTGTAAGCTACGATAGTTTTGCCCAGTGTTACTTTTTTTTGTAATGCATTAAGGAAGGAATGCAGATTTTATAATGTTTTATACTTTTTTTCTCTCATACATTTTAGTGTTAAGATGGCAGAATAACCATGGGAGACTGGAATTTCCTCGGAGGCATTTTAGAGGAGGTCCACATCCATTCTACTATTATTGGAAAGATTTGGCTAACGATCCTCTTCATATTTCGAATGCTTGTCCTTGGAGTGGCAACCGAGGATGTCTGGAATGATGAGCAATCAGAATTTATATGCAATACCGAGCAACCTGGTTGCAGAAATGTGTGCTATGATGAGGCCTTTCCCATCTCTCTCATAAGATACTGGGTCTTGCAAGTTATATTTGTGTCTTCCCCTTCCTTGGTGTATATGGGTCATGCCTTATACAGACTAAGAGTCTTGGAAAAAGAGAGGCAAAAAAAGAAAGCTCAGGTAAAGGTGGAACTTGGAAGCACCAAATTAGAAATGACTGAAGATCGTAAAAGGCTGGAGAGAGAACTCCGGCAATTGGATCAAAGAAAGCTAAATAAAGCACCCCTGAGAGGATCTTTGCTCTGCACTTACGTGATACATATTTTCACACGGTCTGCAGTGGAAGTCGGTTTTATGATTGGGCAGTATCTCCTTTATGGCTTTCATCTAGATCCCCTTTATAAATGTCAGAGAGATCCATGTCCAAACACAGTTGACTGCTTTGTATCTAGACCAACAGAAAAGACAGTCTTTATATTATTCATGCAGTCAATAGCGACTGTATCATTGCTTTTAAATATCCTGGAAATTATCCACTTAGGATTCCGAAAAATTAAAATAGGACTTTGTGAGCAGAATAAAAACAAGGACGACTCTGACAATTTCCACATAAACACGTCTAAGAAATACTCTGTGATACCGCAATCTTCTTTCGGAATACCCACCACCCCTCAGAAAACTCTTCCTTGTGCACTTAGCAGTTATACCTTTTTAATGGAAAAGCAAACTGACACTACCGTCTACCCGGTTCTAATTTCTCCTTCTCTGTTTCAGTCTGTGCAAAATAATCATACAGAAAGCAGCAGTAATTACACCCATTGCAATCAGGAGAATAAATTGCCAAAGAAGAGGCCAACTACAAATGCCTTAGACAATCAGACTCAAAATACCAGCATGAATAATAACGAGGGTTTTCTTGGTGAGCTTGGGACTGAAGCGCATGATGCACAAAAAGAGGCCGAAAAGAAACATTTCCTTGTTGTTACTCAGAATGCAGATATGGCTTCAACCATGTGTTTGAGAAGCTTTACTGACATGCCATCTCAAACTTCACTGCAACCCAATACAACTTTTCCTTGTACCAGTTTTAGGCAACAGCACGGAATTGGTTCGTCTTGGAACTGCTCAGCAACGGTTGAGAGCGCAGGAGCTTTGACAAATTCTCTTCCAAAAAACAGCAACAGAAGACAAAGCAGTTTCAGTGCAAACAACGCCCAAACTCCTTACAATACTGACGTAAAAAATTTTAGCCGACCAGACACTCCTGACTCTACAGAGGAGGTGAGCTCAGAATCTACACAAAGTAGAAACTGGAATAGTCCTAAGCTTTACTCTCTGTCCAGGCAACTGTCACTGTCAAGTAATGCCAGCAGCAGGCGTGCCCCTACTGATCTTCAAATATAGTGGGAGTTAAGCCATCAATGCTGGAATAATTACTGAACAAGAAGACATAAGCAAGACCTGTGTGTAAGAGTAGCTAAATCATTCAACTTTAACCAGCTTTTTCACATAGATAGAAAAGTTGTGTAACCCTTTGAACAGTAGCTAAGTAACTTTTAAACAGTCCCTTTACTTCCTTTGTAAAGAAAATGTGGCATAGACCTCGGTGTATAAACTTCTACACTCCTTCCAGCTAAAAAGGAAAACATACTCCCTCTAAGTCCACATATTAGGAGAAGTCTGGCATAAAATCACAGCTGATAATACTATTTAAACTGAATAAAAGTAGGAGAAAAAATTTAGAGTCTAACAATATCTTTTACAAAGACCAGTAAATGAAATTAGGCTAAAGGTGGCACTGGCACTCTCAGAAAAACTTTTTGGTAAACATGTTTCCACTTACTCTGAGAATTCAGAGTTTTGATAGCTGTCTGAAAGCAGAATGTCAAACATATCCCACTCTTCAAACTGTGTTAAATACAAAAAGAACAAAACATTTCATATACTGATCACTAATTCTTTGACTCCATGGTACACTTTCTTTTTCAGTGTATCACCACTGACTTCCTCAGCAGAAAAATCAAAGTGAATTTCTTTTACTATTAGAGTTCAATACACTATTACATTTTTAAAGCATCGTGAATTGCAAACAAGCTGTGAGCTTTAATTTTGACATTTTGCATAACACTAAAAAGATAGCAATTTTTTTTTTAAATCAGAAAACAACTTACTGAAATTTATTAATCAGAAATTTTGAATTTCACAAACCAGAAGGCTTACTGTGGAAAATAGAAAAAAAAAAGAGAGAGAGGAAAAAAAAAGTAAATACAGTAGTACATTCCTGCCTTCAGTTACAATGTCAAAAGACATATAAAAGCTTTATCAAATTGTAAAACTACTCCCTTTCTGTTGTCTTTCCCTCAAATTCTGACAAACTTTTAAATCAAACAAAGCTTATACTTGTTTAGAAGGAGTATTTTTGTTTATGCTTCTTATGGGGGTAGTAAGACATTAAGGATATTCATTCACTTGCTGCTCCGGTCCATACAGTGTAATGGAAGTTCCAAGAAATACCTTGAAATAGTAAAGGAGGCAAAGATGAACAAAATACTATGTTACATTTGTAATAGAGCTTTCTATGTATGAAATACATTTACTTGAGTCGCACAGCACTGACAGGCTGTAAATACTTGGTGAGGTGGTCACAGCTGAGATGCATTAGTGTATACACATGTTTTTTTTACTAGTGGATGGGATTTACTGTACATGTACTGGAAAAATATTTTATGAGATGTTTCAGCATAATTAAATCCTTTAAGGTGCATTGTTATTGTGCTTACCAGACAGCCATGCTTCAGAGTGGCTGAAAAGCTGTACAATACTACAAAAAAAGAAGCCTGATAACCTAAAAAGCTCTTTTGGCCCTGTCCACGTACGAAACACACATTAGTACTATTACAACTATTCACTGTAAATTTCTCTCAGCAGGTATCCTTTTCACCTCATATCGTTCTTTGTGTGTACATAAATACAGCCCTACATAATTCTGTTTACACTGTAAAATTTAACATTGTGTAATATACTGAAATGCACATAAATGTATAGCCTGATTTAGGCAGGTTAATACTGCTACTGTGGCTTTAACTCTTGCATTTCTTGATGCATAAGATTCTGCGGGTGATAACTGCTAATGCTTGTTTTGCATTTAATGTCTCTGTAATAAAAAGCCTAGTATTTAATGCACTCCGGTCCCACTGCCAAATAATAACAAGTTAGCATTTAGATGCTTACATATGGGATATGACATTTGCATTTCTGTTGTTCAAGATGAGTTACAAAAGAATTTGTTTTTCTGCTGCTGAGAGCAGAATTTTATTAACTTTTTTTTTTCTGGACAAGGGTCAAATATTTCATTTCATCACAGCACCTTGCCAACAGAAAAGTGTAACTTAATTCCAGTGAAAACTGAAAACGTTGCAGAAGAGCACAGAGTAGAAGTATGAAAAGACCCTAACATCACAGGTGCAAGATCATTTGGTTGTTTCTTTTTTTTTTTTTTAACTTCTATAATAAACAGATTTTATCTGTCAGTAGATACCAGAGACTTTCACAAAAATAAACAGGTATAACTACTTCTGTGTTTTTTTAAACAGGCTAAGGCAAATTACTTTCCTTATGATGCAAAGATTTCACCACCTATCACTCTTTGGAGCCCCTCGAGTGGACAGCTATGCAGTTGCTGCTTGCTGCAACTTCCCCCTCCTGTGATTGTCCTACTCTGCTCTGCCCTGAGGAGGCTTCACCTTCAATATTGTGGCAGTTTTGGCCACTGCAATACAAGAAAGATATTAAGCCATTAGCGAGTGTCCAAAGGAGGGCAACAAAGATGGTTAAGGGCCTTGAGGGGAAGCCGTGTGAGGAGCAGCTGAGGGCACTTGGTCTGTTCACCTTGGAGGAGACTGAGGGGAGACTTCATTGCAGTTACAACTTCCTTGTGTGAGGAAGAGGAGGGGCAGACACCGATCTCTGCTCTCTGGGGACCAGGGACAGGACCCCAGGGAATGGCCTGAAGTTGTGTCAGGGTAGGGTTAGGTTGGATGTCAGGAAAAGGTTCTTTCCCCAGAGGGTGCCTGGGCACTGGCTCCCCAGGGCAGTGCTCATGGCACCAAGGCTGCCAGAGCTCAAGGAGTGTTTACATGGTACTCTCAGGCACATGGTGTGACTCTTGGGGATGCTCCTGTGAAGGGCCGACAGTCGGAATTGATGATCCTTGTAGGTCCCTTCAAACTCAAAATACTCCGTGATCCTGTGATTTCAGCGCGCTGCAGTTACCCCTCGAGCCCCGGCAGGACAGCTCAGCGTTCCGGCCGAAGGCCGCGGCACGCCCCGCCGCTCGGAGAGACAGTGCTTTCAGAGCCCTCAGAGCCCGGCCAGGGGCGAGGCCCGAGGGCGGTGCCGCCGCTCCGTCGCTCCGGTAACGGCGGGGAAGCGCTGGCGCTGTTAAAGCGCAGGGCGCAGGCGCGCGGCGGGGTGGGTGCGGTGCGGGGTAGATGGCGCACTACAAGGTAGGAGGCAGTGCCGGCGTGGGTGCGGTGTTGTCCCGCTTCCCGCTCGGAGCGGCGGGACCGACACCGGCTCGGCCCTTCGTGCCGCTTCCGCGGCGGAAAGCGGGGCCGGCCCGGGCCAACGAGCCGCCTCGGCAGCCGAGGCGGGGCGCGCCGCCGATCTGACCGTGTGGGCGTCCTCTCTCAGGCCGCGGACTCCAAGCGGGAGCAGTTCCGCCAGTACTTGGAGAAGTCGGGGGTGCTGGACGTGCTCACCAAGGGTAAGTCTCCTGCCCGTGAGGGGCCAGCGGGCAGCTCTTGCGGCTCTGCCGGCCCGGCCCGGCCGCGTTGTGGCGGCCCGTCGGGTGGCCCCGCCGGCTCCCGCCTCGTCGTCCGCCTCTTCCCCTCAGTCGGCGAGGGGGCGGCAGCAGAACTCTCCTGGAAAATCTTGGTGCGGCGTGGCCTGGAAATGGAGTCCGGGAGGCGGAGGAGGGCCGCGGGCCTCTGGAAACGCGCCCTGGGAGTTACAAAGCGTTAATTCCTGTGGGGGTCGATTTTAAAGAGGTGCGTGTGGGACACAAGGCTGTTCCTCTCTCCGCACGGGTGTGTCGGAGACCTCTCTTACTCTCGGCCAAAGTGCTTCTTTCAATGCGTGCTTTTGGTTAATTTCTTGGGGGCTGTTATTCTGCCAGAGCTCTACAGAGGAAGTAAATGCTTGAGACGGTATAACAGCAAGTGTTATTTTAAACCCCACTTTAATTCTTTAAGACCCTTTCTTGAGTAGAGCTTAGTGCTTTTTCTAAAATGAATGAAAGTTATGTTTTGGAGAGTGACTATCTGTATCGAAATGGGGAAAATGATGATGCTAAACTTGACACATATGACTTGGCATCTTTGAAACTCTTTTGAAGTCTTTTTGAGAACCTTCCAATAGTATGTGGCAAAAATCTGTTTCCATTTCTGATTGAAAATATGCTGTATAAAGAGGGAGCAGCAGATCTAGGATGTCGAGCGAATAGGTGCTGCATTAAGACTCTTGGCCTGGTGTGTGAGTACCATTTGATTTTTCTATTGCAATACCATCCAATGCAATGGCAAAATAAGCCTTCCAAGCACTGAGGCATCCTAATTTTGTTTTTAACTTGGGCGGTGTGTAGCTTAAAACCAGTTTGACTGTATCGTTTGAATATCTGGAACTGGCACATTGCCCCTGTAGGGAGTGGGGAATGGTTATGTTTGGGAACTTTCTGAGTATTCGTGTGACTGAGTTCTCCATGTATATGGCTACTTTTATTTAAGCTGTCAGGGTATTGCTGCTCGTGTCTGACTTCTGTGGCCCTTAGGGGCTCCATCCATAAAGATCATCAGTGTCACCTACTCTGACAGTAGCCATTTAGTTTTGTAACTGTAGATGTTTGATGGAGGTTTGCTTTTATGCTGAAAGTTACAGAACTGCTGATGTCCTGTGGTTCAAAGAAGTGGAAATAATGATACATGAAGAGAATCTCAAAATAGTTAGAATTTCAGTCTTGCTGATGAAAGCTAATACTAGTGTTGCATGTGGAATGTATAAAAATTGTCCAGGCCATTTTGTCTTCTGTGCTAGACTAGCCAAAGACTTGGGTTAGGGATGAAGAAAACTTATATTTAGCTGTTACTAGGTGGAATGCTCTGTCTACTCCTGTACAGCAGACCTGTTGTTTATGTCAGAGTATACAGGTGAAAATCATGTTAAATGGAAAAATGTGCTATAAATGTGTTATGCTTTCTGACTGTTGGTATGTGTTTCAAAAACTTAAGAGTTGCGTGAACTTCTTGCAATTGACGAATATTTTCCGTTTGCAGTGTTGGTAGCCTTATATGAAGAGCCAGAGAAACCAAATAGTGCACTGGAGTATCCTTTTTCTCTGCTGTGTCTTGTTTGTAGAGACCTTATGTGAAATAGCAGTACTGCTTCTGACTCATAGGTGAACTGGAGAGGCTCATTTAGAAACCTTGCCTTGAGAACATGGCTTTTATCGATGCATTTTGGCTAATAATTGCCTTCTTACAAGCTAAGGGAGAGTCTGACAGGATGCAAGAGAACTGGGCTATCAGTATGCCAACAATTAAAAAGCTAAGTTATAGGCCATTACAGAGTTGTAGACCTGCAGCATTTGAGTACCTGCAGTGTCTGTGGCTTCTGAAGTTTGCTTCTTCACATTTCCTTTTTTGTTTGATTTGGGTTTTTTTTAATAAGAAGAACTTGTACTGATGTCTTGTTTTTGGTTGTGTTTGTTTTTTTTAAGGAATATAGCTATGAGTTTAAAAACCTCTCTTATTTTTTTAACTTCCTTCTATAGGATGAAAAGCACTGTAGTAATCTCAGTGGTGTACTGTGATTTTGGTCATGTGTTCTGCGGTGCTAACTTCAACGTAAGTGTTAAAACTAAAATGTGGTTATACTGTGTAACTGAAGAAATACTTAACATCTAAATATCAGCTTTCTGAAGCATCATCTGGGAGCTTCAGCTCCTGAGAATCCAGAATTAGAGGCACTTCGCTTGGAACTGGCAGAGATGAAAGAAAAATATGAAGCTGTGCTGGAAGAAAATAAAACCCTGAAAAGCAAGGTAAAAGTCTACTTGGTGTTACTCTGTAGTTCCATATCATACAACAAAAAACCACTTTAATACTTAGAATACAGCTGACTTTCTTCTGTTAGAGTAACTGATAAATATTGCATTGTTTAGCCTCGTGGCTGAGAAATGCTGATGGAATTCATTGTAGTTAAGGCTTATTTTTTTTTAATGGGACACTTCTTTTAGAATATAACATATAATATTACTAAACTTGGGATTTTATTTATTTAGGGAAAGTCTGGGTTATCAAGTCTAATATGCCCTCATTCGATCCTGTCTGGATGTGTTTGTCTGATATTATGTAGCTCATGCTTCCATGAGAGTTTTGAAAAACTCAGGTCATGTGTCCATTACAAAGGCTTTCAAAAGGCAAACAGAAAGAGGAATATTCTATATTACTTTGTGTCACTTGGCACAGAGGCACACCCTTGCACATGTCAGGATGTCACCACTGGAGGCTATTAGACCCACAGGGAACAATAATTTATGCTTTTTACCTAAAATGACCCTGGTATTTCTCTATCTGCAACAGCAGTGAGTCTGAAGTGCTGCTAAAGGCAGGACCATTCTTTAATGGGTTTGTAGGCTGTCTGAAAGAGCTCGGAGGTGTGAACAGCTTCCTAAAAACACTGAAGAAAGAAACTTTTGAGGTGCTTAATACTCCAGTAGCTTATGTGCCACTACAGGTTTATGTGCATTTATTGGAAATGGATGGTGGCTGTTATATGTGAATATAACAGAGCTTTTTACTAGGAGACAGCCACCCCACTTCAGTTCTGGGAGAAGGGATTCTTGGGCATTACCCCTTTGTATTTCTTAGCTGGAGTGCCCTCTTGCTGTTATAATAATTCTCCTCGTCTTCTGTTACCCGCTGTGAGTCCTCACAGCTACATTTGCTATTTCTTCCTAGGAAATATGGCAAACAGCAGAATTTTAGGGGGAGTAGCAATAGACCAGCAGTTCACTTGGTGCAGCAGACTTAAAAATGCAACCGATAGTAAGACAGGCAGATGAGAGCAGAGTAATCTGAGTCTTTGTTTAAAGAACTCTTTTAAAGAAGTCAAGACTTGTTCCAGGAAAGTAAGCCTTTCTGTAATCATGGGTTCATTTGTGCTTTCACGTTATTCATCTTTCAAATGATAACTCTTACTTTACATATTTTCCAGTATTAGTGTGGGTTTCTTTTCCCCTTTCTTCTGCTGTGTAATGCCCATCATTCTGACATCCTGTAGAACTTCACACAGAATGCAGGGAGAACACTACTGTTTAGCTTTCTTTCAGCAATCCTCTAGCATAAAATATATGCCATTATCTGTGCGTTTATTGAGAACTTCTGTTGCAATCATCTGAAGATCTGTCTTTTTCCTTACGTTTATTGCTCAGAATGTCAGGTATTTGTATGTGTGTTGAAGGCAGGGACAGGAAGTCAATAGTTAGGCCTCAGGTAGAAAAGAAAACTGACTTTTGATTGTGTACTAGCCATCTGCTGTAGTAAAATCTACAAGAATGAAAAAGTGTTATTTTAGCAGTTTTTGTTAGCAGCAGAGTGATTGCTGCAGTTTAGTGTTGCTATGAGGAAAGAACACATGTATTTTAATTTATTTCTTATGTACTTTTTTTTATTTTTAAGTCACTGTGCAATTTGTAAATTGAGTAAACCAAACCAGCATATCTCAGAGAGATGGTCCTAATTCTTCAACATTTTTAGCTTATAGGTCATCATTATCAACTGCTATTTAATATGTAAAGTACTTAATGAGTCCTAGAACAAGAAGCAGTGAAAAATTAAGGGCAAGACCTATGTGCTTTTAGACAGCCCCCTTGTTATGGCTGCATGGTTATACAGTGTGACAAATGGATGTTTTGAGAGAAGGGTTACTTTGTTTCCTCACTTGAAAATGGACTTGAATGAAGATGAGTGAGTTAAAGTGCACAAAGTAAATGGAGCAAGTCCAGACCACACATTTTCCTACATTTCTTAACGTAGAGTGTTATATGAAATGTTGCAGCTAACTGAATTCCTTTCTTTAAATCCACAGCTGGCTCAGTATGAACCACCTCAAGATGAGAAGCATGGTGAATAACAGTAGTTTTTCCTTTAATGCCTTGACTAAATAAAGGGCTTCCTGAGAACTCTGGTCTTTATTGTGTATGTGTGTGTGTGAACTCTGCATTGTCTACTTTGTTACTTCGTGGTCTTAAAGAAAGAAAGTGCAGTATCATGAGCATACAGCTGCAGCAGCAACTGATGAGTTAAGCATACTGGCCAATCTTCTTTCTGTG